TATGACACTGCTTTAAAAATATCCACTTGGGAGGCGCCTGGTGGCTCAGCTGGTTAGGGATCCGACTTCGGCTCAGGTCATGATCTGACGGCTCGTGGGTTTGAGCCCTGCCTCACGCTCTGTGCTGAGAGCCTGGAGCCTGCGTTGGATTCTGTGTCTCCCTCTGTCTCTTCCCCTCCCCCACTCACGCTCTGTCTCTCAATCTCAAAAATAAATAAACGTTAAAAAATATATATATATCCACTTGGTCACTGTTACTTACCTTAAGGGGTATTATTCCTGTGATGCATTTCAGTGGGAGGTTTGATCTTTGGATATCATTTGAGGAAATGAAGTCGGTGATCAAATTAACATCCATTTTTTTTTAGAACATACGTTGTTTGTCTATGGGCGCATGTGTGAATGTACATGTGTACATGTATATTATTTATTTATAAGCGTTGTTCTCTTCTTTGCTGTTTGCATACTACCTACTCACTTGTGGCATTCATCATCCACCAGAGATTAAAGACAGAGTGAAACGTTAAATCTCTCCTTCTGAAACCCACACAGGATCTCATCCTCCTTGGCTTGAAGCACCACCTAAGATTGCTAATGAAAGAAACTATTTTTGTCCAGCGCTAACACTGGCATTCATGCTAAATGATCAGTACAGCCTGTGCCAGAAATTGTATGTAAGTAGAGGAAGCACGCACAGCCTTCCTCGTTCAGCTCTTCGGAAGCGCGCTTCCTTTCCGCTTTCTGAGATGTTTCCGCTGCTAATCGGGGAGGTTGCCCAGAGGGTGTGGGAGGCAGCACAGAGGGAATCGAGGTGGGGGATGGGTGCCCTGATTTAAGCCCACAGGGAGGGGTTGGAGAGCCCTGGTCTCCTGATGTGGCTCTGATACCCCCCACCTACACTCTAACATGTAAACTCCCCCACCCTTCATTTCCTCATCTGCAAAATGGGAACAGAACTCCAACATTTACTCAACAAAGAAAGCACAACCATACATTTATAACATTAGAAATGGGTGCTCATGTCAAGTTTCAAAAAGCTAACGGTATCACTGCTTTTGGGAAGACTCTCGCTCAGGGGTTGGCAGTCTATGGCCTGGGATCCAAATTTGGCTCTCCGCCCACTTTTACAGATAAAGCTCTGTTGGTACACAGGTCACTTGTTGACATGTTTTCCATGGCTGCTTTTAGCTAGAACAGCAGAGTTAGGTAGTTATCACAGAGACTGTCTGGTGTGCCGATCCCCAAGTGTTTACTCTCTGCTCCTTCCCTGAAAAAGTCTGTCAGGCCCTGCATTAGACTGTGTATGAGAAAGGACACTTCCCCGTGAAAGGGCTTTCCACATTTTCTGTCCAGGGACACTGGCCCATGGCTGTGATGAGGACATTCAACATGTGTAGGGATGCGACATGTGTAGGCGTGCACTGTAGAGCGTCACCCTTCTTTGCATTCTCACTCCCGACTCTGCTGCCACCCATTACCTGAATGACCTCGGACAAGTCACCTCACCTCTCTAACCCTAAGGCCTTTACCAGTTTGTTAAAATGCACCAACGAGTACACCGTAGAATCCCTTAGGGCTTTGTTAAAATAGGTTGTGTGTGTGTTTCTTTTTCACACGCAGACTTCCGAGCAGACATTTAAAAATTACAATGCAATTACGACATCGAGCAAATGGAAAGAAGAGATTTTGTGTAACGCAGCAAAGGGAATATATTTTCCTTCGTAATGGAGGGAGCCATCTCCCGAGGCACGGGATGGATGACGTGAATATGGCAATTTTAGGACTGCAAGTGAAATCCTTCAGATTAGGCACATGGGACAGTCTGCCTCCCCCCTGACATCTACAGGGAGTGAATGGCCAAGTGAATATCTGGCTTACGTAGGACAATCAGGCCAATAACTACATGGTCTCTGCAATTCATTTTTGCTTTGTAATTGGACGGTGATTGTTTTGGGGGTGTCTCATCTTGGTAACAGCAGTACACCGTCTTGATATTGTGAATTGTCAGAGCTTTACTTTTAAGGTAATATAAAGCACATATTACTAATTCACATATTTGAAAGCATTATTTCCGCATAGGTTTTTCTCATGAATTATGTTTCATAAACATAATAACGTTTCATGTTTCATAATGTTTTGTAAACTAGAAGGTATTTTTCCAGATTATTATGATCACATCCAAGGTGTAAGACGGTTTTCCAGAGAAGTAATTATGTAGTGAACGGAGCAGATGAAGACAACAGAGAATCCCTAATACTAGTAGATCTTCTTAAACTTGCATTTCTCTGTTAGGAGAGGAGGTGAGTTTGATCTCCTCTCGTGAAAGTACAGTAACTAGAGAATTCACGTAACTACTTATTTTCGCCTATACCCATTCAGGTACATCACTGAGGACATGTACAGCTCTGATTATCTTTATGCATTAAAAAAATTTTTTTTTTTGCCGTGAAGTGATGATTAACTTGCAAACGAGGCTCCCTCTCAGAAGAGTCTGTAGCTCTTGTCTCTTATTTCAAGCCAGAAACAGTCCCTCGGTTCACTTCACCGTCTTGTTATGACTGACCCGTTTCCCACTGACCGGGTTTAAAACGGAAACTGAAATACTGCCTCACAAATCAAAGTCAGCATTTACGAGAAGTCTGTTATTCATTCATCTATTCATTTAGTAACTGTTTCCTGAGAGCTTGATGTGTGCCAGGCACTCGCATCAATGCTGGGAAGAGAAGTCCTTCAGATTTCAGATAAAAACAGTTAAAAAAACCAAAACTTCCCCTCATGGAGCTTTCCTTCTCCTGAGCAGAGGCAGATAGGACATGAAGGACATCATAGGTTAGTTAGTAATAAGGGCTGTGGAGACTAACAAAGCAGGAGAAAACCACGGGTCAGCCAGTTTTGGTGGTGGGAGGAAAGAGCAGGTAGCCATGTTGCATAACAGGGCATCTGGTCGACCCTCAGCGGTGAGAAGCCAGCCATGGGTAGATTCCGGGGGAGGGCATGTAGGCAAAGCGGGTAGAAAAGTGTCAGTGGTGTCATGGTTTTCCTCTCCGAGACACAGTATGGGGACGATGTGGCTCAAGCAGAGGGGCCAGGTGGGGCTGGGAAAGGTTTGGGAGGGACTGTGCGGCCAGGGCTTGCAGGGTGTGTAGCAGATGCTAATACCCTGACTCTAAGTGAGCCAGGATGCCTCTAGCAGTTGAGAATTGGGCCGCGGTCTGGGCAGGGAGGAATCACCTGGCTTCTGTGCTGAGGGCGGGCTCCAGGGAGGTGGCCGCAGTGTGAGGGAGCATTGATACGAGGCGTTGGCAGTGATGGGGTAAGGAGGAGTGTGGTGTGGGTGCTGGTGGCGGTGAAGAGCAGTACTCCTGGATATATTCTCAAGTCTGTGCTAACAGCACTTAGCCTGAGGGGATATGAGAGCCCAAGAAGGGTTTTCAGTCTGGTTAAGTGGAAGGAGGAATGTCTGTTTACCGAAGGGTAGGCTCCTGTGGCGTGGTGACAGTTATGACGTGAGTGCTGGACACACTAGTTTTGAGTTGCCTCTGAGACCTCCAAGAGCCGCTGACTGGAAGACCATCTGAATATTTGAGTTTGGGATGATGTCTATGTGGAAGACATACTTTTGAAAGTCTGCAGCACACAGATTCTGGGTAAAGCTGTCCCCAGACGAGATCCTTAAAAAGTGCGAGTACCCGAGAAAGAAGAGGTCCTCGAGTTTGGGGGCTGGACGCCATCTTGTTTAGACATGGAGGCATGGGGATGAAGCAGAGCAGGGATCAGGCAGAGAAGAGAATGAGCATCCCGCAGGACCGAGGGGAAATTCAGCAGAGCCGTGTCAGGTAGAAAATGGGACTCTAACACGAGGCAGTGGTTGGCGGTGTCCTATCACGCCGATGACCCAAGTACAGCTCCTGGGGCTCTGCTGAGCCAGGACAGCTAGGAATCCTGGGCTTCCCACACCCAGGGTAACAGTGACAAGTGTGTTCAGCTTGCATAGAGTTGAGTCATGTTCACACCACTTGGTTTTTGACACGGGCAGGTGCAATGCTTTCCAAGTTCCGGCGTGCAGGTAGGTCATCTAATGCAAACTTACCTGTGTTTTTTACATGGAGAAAGATATTTCACATAAAACATATAAATACGTATTTATGTAAAACTATAAAAAATAGAGAGATGGGTCCCACTCAGACTCACTGAATCACTGTATTCCAGTGTATGTCTTAGGTGCTCCTAGAAGGTTCCTAAAGTTGACCGTTTTTGAACCACCTTATCAACAGTATCACATTATCTATCTATCTATCTATCTATCTATCTATCTATCTATCTATCATCTATCTATCATCTATCTATCTATCTATCTATCTATCTATCTATCTATCTATCTATCATCTATCTCTGACAGCAGGAAAGAGAGACAGAGAGAGAGAATCCCAAGCAGGCTCTACACTCAGCGTGTAGCCTGACAAGGGGCTCAATCCCATGACCTGGGGGTCATGACTTGAGCCAAAAACAAGAGTCAGTCTCTCAACCAGCTGAGCCACCCGGGCTCCCCTCTACTCATTTTTTTTTTTTTTTTAAATTAAGCAATCTGGGGCTCCTCGGTGGCTAAGCTGGTTAAGCATTCAACTTCAGCTCAGGTCATGATCTCACGGTCTGTGAGTTCGAGCCCCACGTTGGGCTCTGTGCTGACGGCTCAGAGCCTGGAGCTGCTTTGGATTTTGTGCCTCCTCTCTCTCTGCCCCTCCCCCACTCACACTCTGTGATATGTAAATGCCTTGAAGGAGCCTTCTAGATTACAGATATGTCCCATGCAAATGCATCTTACTTTTTTGTAGACTGTATTCTCATCAGAGGCTTCCAAAGGGGATTGTATTCATTTCCAGCGTTTCTACACATACCAGGAAGTGCTCATGCATTGACCATGTAGTCATTGGACCTGCTAGGATGTGAGTTTCGTTGTCACCTTGGTACTCGAGTCACACTATCCTTCTCCTGGATTTCAGATCCGTCTGCGCCCCCCGCCCCGGCCAACCTCCGGCTTGCAAACTCCACCGCCAATGGTGACGGCACCGTGACCGTGGCCATTGTCTGGGATGTCCCCGAGGAAGCAGACATCCCTGTACATCACTATAAGGTATTTTGGAGCTGGACGGTCAGCACCAAGTCACTTGTCCCAACGAAAAAGAAGCGGAGAAAGACTACGGATGGGGTAAGTGGGAACCAGAAGAGAGCTGTCTTCTTCCAGGCTGTATCAGAGCTCAGGGCGGCTGACCGGGAAGGTGGCCTCTGCTTCGCTAAGGGAAGGGATGCGTGAAGGAAAGGGTCCCATCCCTTTCGTTTGGGCCGAGGAAGGTCAGGAATGGAGGGCCATGCTACATGTTTTTGCCTTTGACATTTTAGGTAAAACACAAACAAACAAAAAACAGCTGCATTTAGCCCGTTGACTGACTCACATCCAAACGGCAGGCCCAACTCCAGAAAGGGAAGGGGCACAAATCATTTTTATCTTAACTGTCCAGTCATAGAAAACGATATAATTCAAAATGTCCTTTACGTTTAGTTCTTTTTCTTTGGGTTTGTTTGAGATCCTTGTAAATCGAAGAGCAAATGTTCCCGGCTTTTCTGTTGAAGGTATTTCCAGCTGTAATCTAATCAGTGGAACAGTACACAGCTTGGAAAATGCATGTTTGACAATATATTTCTCTCGTTGATTAAAAGAGCTCGAGTTCTGGGTTTATTTGCCAGATGGCAAGAAATAAAATCTTAAGGGGCGCCTGGGTGGCTTAGTCGGTTAAGCGTCCGACTTTTCGCTTAGGTCATGATCTTGCGGTTCGTGGGTTCGAGCCCTGCGTCGGGCTCTGTTACAACTGCCAGCTCGGAGCCTGGAGCCTGTTTCAGTCTGTGACTCCCTCTCTCTCTGACCCTCCCCTGCTCACGCTGTCTCTCACTCTATCTCCTAGAAATAAATAAAACATTAAAAAAAAAAAAAGAAGAAGAAGAAAAAAAGAAATAGTCTTCACTGACCCATTTTCTGAAGTGAGATTTCTATGGTAGTGAATATTTTGCATTGTATGAAGTTCTTAGTGCATAATACAGAGTTACCCGGTTTCCTTTTTGTACACATTCTTTTATTATTGTTATAAAACCTAAATAAACAACTTCCCCCTAATTTATAAAGTCGGATTTCATAAAAAAACAAATGTTTGAAAACATTTTTGAAAAGGATAGCAAGACTTTTTTTTGGTTTTTGGTTTTTTTTTTGGCAGTGAAGATTCCAATTGCTGTGCCATTTAGAATTCTAAAACACGTCTGTATCCTCAATATTTAGTTGCAATGCCTAGTTTGGTTTTACTTTTAAGAGACTTCCTGACTGTTCCATCTTTTATTTTGAAGGACTTCACAGCAATTGATAATTGGCAATGTATGATTATCTCATAGGAAGATCTGAAGGGATCATAGGGATCAGAAGCAAAATATGATGTGTGAAATGGTTATGGTACTGCCCCCCCCCCCCGAGCGTACACATATACAAACACTTCCACCATCAGTCACCAAATAGCCTCACAGGTTACTAGGAAACTTTGCAATTTATTTCTATTCTACATCAGTTAAATAAATAAAATGTGAACTGCAAGTTTAACTGAAATCGTTAATGGGCCAGAGTAGCCAAAATGGTAGGTTACTATATTATGAGTGACTTACGTTTTTGGGTCCACTACAGGTAAGCCGTAGGTCATGTGGGTCACTGACTTCTCCATGTTAAAATCTGACCAACTGACATTAAGATTAGAAACTGGAAAAATCCATAAGAACATGAGAAATTATGAAATTTTCTTCTTGGGAATCCATGGGTTCCCATTTACCAAGATCTCATTCTAATACCCTAGGTAAATAAGGGGAGAAGGGATTTTCAACAGGGATGCTTTTTCAAAAGTGGATTTTCTTTTACCTGGGAGATAATCACATAGGCAGAATGACAGGCAATCCGACAGGAAGCCGTGACTAGAAGACATTGAGAATTGGTAGTTTATGCAGACATGCTGAAGGCTAAAAGAGGTAGATCGTCCATCCCAAGACACTGGGATGGCTTTTCTCTGGCAGTACCAGGTAGGAGGCTGCAGAGTGCCGTCCCCACCTCACCAGGATAAGCAGCCACAGTCTGGAGTCTGACTCAGACTTCCAGTTCTGGAAATGCAATCCCATCAGCCTTGCGGAGCCTAGCAGATGAGGATGGCCGCGTTCTGATAATCGACCCCTCAAAAGCCCCAAGCATACAGCGATGCTGTCTATAATTTATAGCAAGCCTCAAGGTCAGAGTTCTGGAACGCCCATGAGAAGCATGTTCTCTTGCTGGAAAGAGATCTCACAAGTCCTGGAACAGTGATCAGAATGCGGTTAGTGGCTGCGGAATTTACGCAAGGGACTTGGGGATGTGATTCCGTCTTCGATGATTTCAGACGATGCCTTTCCTTCATACAACAAGCACGCTGCACAATTAACACTGGAACCATCCACACTGGAAAGTGAGGGCCGCCAGTGGCCTGTGCTGTTGGGTGTTGCATTACTGATGGACCCTGTCTGACCTTCATGATCGGCAATACCACTGCTTTGACCATTTGTAGGCAAGTCCTACAGCCAGGGAGCTCTTTGATGTCAACACACGCATAATAGTTGGACAACCATCTTGAATTCTAAGACAATAACCTTATGTTCCTTCATCACAAGTTCTTGTAAGGGACTTCAGGACCCTCTTTTTCTTGAACCCTAGGAAGAGCAGCAGACTCAGAGGTTTTGGACCTGAGCTCCTGTCTTGGAGCCACCGTCATGCACGTGCCCTTGGATGTCACTGGATCTCCCAGTCTGGCCTCCAAAATTCCATCTGGCCTCCAGCCATCAAGCAAATAAATAGGGTTTCGACTTGCTTCATTTAACGCTGCGCATCACACACAAACTTAGATGAGTACTTGCTACTAACAGTGACGATGATCAAAAAAATCTTAAAGCATTTTCTCACGATGATTTTTATGACCACTGTTGGTTGAAATTTACTCATAGAAGGTTTAGGATAAATATCAAAGAAATACAATTAGTGCCAATTCATACTTTTTTCAGGTATGTGGTAACACAAGCCTCTGTCAGTTTATGGCAAATATAAATATGTCTCTTTTCTCCATGAAGTGGTGTCTAGAATCGTTGGGGGCAGATTTATTCATTTCTCTCTTTTTTTTTTTTTTTTTACATTTTTTTAAAGTCTATTTGTTTGTTTTGAGAGGAGAGAGAGTAAGCAGAGGAGGGGCAGAGAGACAAAATCCCAAGCAGACTCCGCAGTGTCAGCACACAGCCTGATGTGGGTCTTGATCCCACAAATGGGAAGATAGGACCTGAGCTGACATCCAGAGTCTGATGCTCAACCGAATGAGCCACCCGGTGCCCCTGAATTATTCATTTCTATACTAGTGGAAGAGGATCCAATGATTGGATAAGACACAATTTCTAAAAAGTCTGTTTGGGTATTGTGTACAATTTATATTGATAGTAAAACTAGATTTTCAGATCCTAAAGATGGAGAGAATTGTGTGAACTTAGAAAATTAAAGGCACAGGTACAGTAGGGGCTGATGAGCTGCTCCCTGAGGACCGTCTGGCTCCTCAAGGAAGAGGGGCGGCAGAGCAGTTTGTAACCAGCTGGGCGAATCCTCTCTCCCCTGCAGTCCCAGAACTCGGTGATCCTGGACAGACTGCAGCCAGACTGCGGCTACACCGTGGAGCTGCAGGCCATCGCCTACTGGGGGCAGACGCGCCTGAAGGGGGCGAAGGCGTCCCTGCACTTCACGCCTGCGCGCTCCACCGGCCACAGTGAGTGTCCTGTCCCGCCCCTGCACTTCACACCTGCACATGTCACACCCGCACACTTCACACCTGCACACTTCACACCCACGTGCTCCACCGGCCACAGTGAGTGTCCTGTCCCGCCCCTGCACTTCACACCTGCACATGTCACACCCGCACACTTCACACCTGCACACTTCACACCCACGTGCTCCACCGGCCA